AATGATGAATGAATGAGAGCTGATGTTCTCTATCAGGCTGGATGAAGCTCAGACACATAAACAGGATCCAGAACTCAGAGATCTTCTGAACCAGTTGGATCAGAGCCTTCAGTGTTTTATGACTTTACCTGAAAGTCACTATATGTAGAAAATGAGTGGCTGACATGGAGGTACACGTCCATGTGTAGAAGTCATTTAGACAAAAATAAATCAACAGCGAGGAAACTCTTTATTTACACACACACAGTAGATGTACATCCTCTTTACTGTGTCTTGGTTTTCATCTTTGTTTCTTGTGCATTTCTTGTCTTGCTGTAAGTTCCCCATAGTGAGCCATCAGTTGATCTGAACTCACCTGAGACGTCCCACCTGCTCTGTGCCCAGGATCAGGATTTATCTCACCTTTAATCTGAGTGCACACGAGCCTTTAATACGCCTTAAATGTACAAAATGCTTCCAGCAAATTTATTCCAACTTTCATAAACCTTCTACAAGTATTCAGTTTTTTAAATAAATCAATAATGAATCTAATGGGAGACCCTGCAGTGGTTAATCCTGCACATGAGGAATCCCTGAGGACCACCGTGGAGGTTCACAGTTTGTATCTGAACTGATGCAGAGTTTCCCTCCATCTGTCCGTCCAGGACACCAGGACACCAGGACACCAGGACACCAGGACACACAAGACTTCTGCTCTGAGAACAACTTTGTTATGAACCTCCTTTAATTAACAAGGACAGGCAGTGTTTGGAGCTGCACCGCCCCACGAGTCCCACGAAGAGTTAAATGAGATCCTTCAGCTGGTATCTGGGTTATGGACGTCCCTATTTAGGTCTTCACCTTCATATCAGTAATTTGCCTGCATATTTTTAGTGGAAGCAGTAATTCAGTAGCAGCAGCATCCCTGGTTTAGGAGCTGGAGGAGGAAGAGGTGTGGAGAGGAATTCCTGGGCCGCCTCAGAGGACACTGACCAGAACCCCTCACTGGTACCACACCAACATGTGAGGCCTGCTCAGGTGAGAGGGCTCTGGGTGGAGCCTCCATCACGGCCTGGGAACAAGCTGCACATGAAGAGTCCTGGTTCCAGAAGCCTTCTTCTGTCTGTCTGTCTGTCTGTCTGCTGCCTTCCTCCTCTCCTCCTGTCTTCCAGCCTCCGGTCAGCCTGATGTTTCTGCTCCTCTCTGTCGGTGTTTAAGAGCCACATCTCCAGCCAGCCTCCTCTTCTGCTGCCAGCAGTCACTTTGAACATCAGTTTGCTGGTAATTAATTTGCAACTCAGGGTGCATGTGCAGCGGAGCAGCAGACACCGTCCTGATGGCTCGTGCTGTAGTTATGACTGGGCGTGGAGCTGCACGTGGAGCTGCGGGTGGAGGGGGGTGGAGGGGGGTGGAAACGCCAAATTAATTCGATGTTAATATTCATCAGGTCACCGATACGGAGGCGCGTGAGCTAAGAAGTGGTCCTGAATGTTGTGTTTGTCTCAGTTCGGTTCTGCTGACTGACACCAAGTTCACTGGTGTGGCTGCGCGGCGCGTGAAGGAGAGAGGAGGGATGGGAGTGCGCGTGGAGTTGTGCGCGCGCACGTGTGTGTCCTGGATGGTGGGCTGAGCTCGTGCTGCACGCCAATCAAGCTGGAGGCAGGTGAGAGAGAGAGAGAGTGGAGGGGTGAGAGACACAGGGGGTGGACGGGGGAGAGAGAGAGAGACGGATTAGGACGGCGCGTGGAGTCTCTGAAAAGGGAATAAAGCCGGCGCGAGCACCGCAGTTTACTCACACCTCGCGAGCGGACTCACTCCACAGCTGGAGAGGCGCGAGAAGCCGGTACCGAGTCCACGTGTTCCCGGATACCGTGTCGGTGTGTTTTCTTTTTTCTTTTTTCGTTTTTAAAAATGAGTTTTTCGAAGCTGCGCAGGATGAACCGCTTCCTGTCGTGACGGGATCTTCCTGGTTTGTTTTGTTTTGTTGGGATTATTCCCAGAAGTCAGAGGTAAGACCTGCTCCACTTCCATCAGCCCAAATTCATCCCAGAGGTCTGTCAGCTTCTGGAAATGATTTAAAGAAACGCTTGTGTCACTTTCCTACACGCTGCCGTAAAATAACATCATCGTTCTGATTATTGTTCTTTAATTATTATCTCAACAAACCGCCTTTAATATTGTTCATGTCCGTTAACGTGCAGCTGAACTGTCGCCGGTTTAAGGCCTGCAGCAGAAAAACAAGCTGGAATTCTACTTTAATATAATAATGTGATCTGAAGTCTCTGAACATGATGTCAGTGTTCGTTCTGTTGTCATTAATCTGCAGCCTGTAATTAGTTGATTCTAAACGACCGCTTTTGGTTTTACTCGTTGTGCTCTTTGCTGCTTCTAATTCCGCTGCTTTATTTTTTATCTTATTTTTTATTCTAGTGAATAAAATGTTCAAATAAGTGCTCACTTATCAGCATTTTATTTGTTCAATTATTTCTTGAAATAGTTCAAACAAACTGAAAACAATATCTCCTCCTATATTATTATTTTTTTGGTTATTAAAACATTTTTGAAAAAGGTTCATGTTCATCTGCTCTGAGTGAAATAATTCAAGGAGTGTGTGTAATTGAAATCTGAATTTTAGGAGTTGTTCAGTTTGCAGGTAATATTCCCTCTGAGCTGATTTATATTATAAAGATTTTTAAAAAAAAAAAAAAAAAGGTGCTTTGTTTATAAATTTAAAAACATGATTGAAATAAAACAGCAGGAACATTTTCTGTCTCACAGCAAATTAAAATTCATATTCATTTACTGTGACACTCTTCATTCATTTTGTGCAAATCATGCTTTAAAAAAAACATACAAATATATACAAGTATATATTAAAATAAATATAATAAAACAGAAATATTTTTAAGATGAAAGATGACACAGAAAGTGTTTCCACCTCAGAGCTCCACAGCCAGCATGAAATGAAAGTGAAATGTTCTTTTAATAAAATTCTAATGTGATTGTTGGCAAATAATAAAAATAATAATAATAACAATAATAATAGTAATAATAATAAAAAGCCAGTAAGCTGCTTCAGAACCTGCCTGCACGCTGTGGCTGTTAGTCAAGAATTAATGTTTTAGGTTCCACATTTTTTGATATATCACAACACAAAATTAAAAATAAAACAACCTGAGCCTTTGTGTTTGTTGGTAATGTTTGATATTATTATATATTATATATACTATATTTGACTGCTGCCGGTGTGGAGGAGTGTGTTTCTGATCCTCTGTCATCTTGGCCATGTTCTGCTGAAAACACACACAGGATAGATTTATGAACAGACTTCAGGTAAAACACAGCAATTAAAAGCCTTATTAAATATATTTGTTTAAATGTTTAGAAGCTACATAAAGATCTGAAAAATACCATCATTTTATATTTCTTTAAAGGGTCAACCAAACACTAATAAAATAATAATCCAGTGTCCTAATTCAGTTTTCGTTTTTTCTTTGGCTCCAATAATTTAGTGCGAGTCGCTCAGATGGCAGCAGTCTAGTTTTTTATATTTTGTAGTGATGATGATTTATTTAAATTTTCTTAAATCCTTAAAAAAAAGACAGACTGTAAATAGGAAAACAGATTTATTTAATTTAAAGTGATCGATACTCTCCTCTTTCTTCTGTTATTCTTTTAAATACATTTCACACATTATCACGTTATTATCTGGAGCATTTTTGCAACAGAATTTATGTATATTATGAGTTATTATTCAGGTATTTCAAATTATATCCAATAAATATTTATATAAAAGGGAGTATTCAAACTAGGTATAAGGTTTTTCTTTTTTTATTAGACGCTGAGTATTTTTTAGACAGGAGCTGTTTTTGCCTTTGACATGTTTCGACTGAGGTGACTGTTGACAGCAGACAAAATGATCACGAGTATTAAAACTCTTTTTATGGTGACTTCTTCAACATTTGTGGATCTTTCTCTCTCTCCGTCCCAACAGGTCGCCGTACAGCCGCTTTCTATCAAAGCATGGACAAGACCCATCTTTCCAGCACTAATGACATCATCATGACGAGCTCCTCAGGCTCTTACCAGCAGGAGCCCCTGACTCCACCCAGGCCCGCCCATCTGCACTCTTCATCCTCCTCCATGTCCTCACCCTCTCCTTCCTCCTCCTCCTCACCCCTCAAACCCAACCAGGTCGGCCAGGTCATCCTGTACGGCGTTCCCATCGTTTCGCTCGTCATCGACAACAACGAGAGACTTTGCTTGGCGCAGATCTCCAACACCCTCCTCAAGAACTACAGCTACAATGAGATCCATAACCGCCGCGTGGCGCTGGGCATCACCTGCGTCCAGTGCACCCCGGTGCAGCTGGAGATCCTCCGCCGGGCCGGCGCCATGCCCATCTCGTCGCGGCGCTGCGGCATGATCACCAAGCGCGAAGCCGAGCGCCTGTGCAAGTCCTTCCTGGGAGAGAACTCGCCGCCGAAACTGCCCGACAACTTCGCCTTCGACGTCACACACGAGTGCGCCTGGGGTTGCCGTGGTAACTTCATTCCAGCGCGCTACAACAGCTCCAGGGCCAAATGCATCAAGTGCTCCTTCTGCAACATGTACTTCTCCCCAAACAAGTTCATCTTCCACTCCCACCGCACGCCGGACGCCAAGTACACCCAGCCCGACGCCGCCAACTTCAACTCCTGGCGACGACACCTCAAGCTCTCCGACAAACATCCACCCGACGAGCTCGTCTACGCGTGGGAAGACGTCAAAGCTATGTTCAATGGAGGCAGCCGAAAGAGAGCGCTGCCCTCCTCGGCCCAGTGCTCCTCCATGGGCTCCATGAAGAGCCTCCAAGGCTCGGTGGTGCCTCACATGATGGGACCGGACCTGGGCGCTCAGAAAAGATCCCGCTTCGAAGATGACGACGACCTGGATGGAGACAGTCTGTCTCCCCGTAAGACGCCACGTAGCTACCCTGTCATCCCCGTCCCCAGCAAAGGCTTCGGCATGCTGCAGAAGTTCCCTCCCACCTCCCTCTTTCCGTCCCCGTACCCCTTCCCAGCATTCGGCCTGTGCCAGCAGAAAAAAGAGGACAGTGACGTAGCAGCCGGCCAGAAAGGAGCAGGGCTGTCTGGTCTTCTATGGCCTGGCCGCAAAGACACTTTCTATCCTCCTTTCTGCATGTTCTGGCCGCCGAGAGCAGCAGGAGGCATCCCCGTCCCGACCTACCTCCAGCCTCAGCCCAGCAGCCTCTCCTCCCTGGCAGACAACCCCTCCCTGCGCCAGGCCTTTCTGGACCTGTCGGACCCCAGCGAATCTGGAGCTGTGAGCGGCAACGGAAATGGTGTCAGTGCAACTATTGCCCCCAACAGCGGGACCACCACACAGAGATCTGGGCTTTTTGACCCAGAGTGCACAACAATTACCCCCGACCTTCGCCCTGTGACATCAGAGGGCTGGCTCAAGCTGCTGGACGCCCCGACCCTCCAGACGAGGAAGCCCAGCTACGGTTCTGCCTTCCGCCCCGTCATCAAAGACGCAGAGAGCATCGCCAAGCTCCACAGCAACGGCGGAGGAGTGGCTGGGGCAGCAGAGGAGGACTTTGGGGTGGTGGTCACCGGGTCGGACCGACACCAGCGGCTGTCGCCCACCAGCAGCTGTAGCTATGGCAGCGAGAGCGGAGGCGACGGAGAAGCGGAAGGAGCAGAGAGCGAGGAGGAGGGGGAGGTGGATGTGGAGTCATCGAAGCAGGAAGACGAGGAGGAGGAGGGCAGCTTCACGAGCAGGCCGCCACAGACTCAAACCAACCTGTACCTCCCTGCGCTGAGCGACGGCGCCGGAGAGGAGAGAGGGAAGGACAGAGGGAGTGGCGCCATGTATCCCAGCGCCTCCCCTCGGTCCTCCTCAGATCCCATCCACCAGGACTCCCCCAGCCTGCCTGCCTCCCCTCCTGCCAGCCTGCCTCTCTCCGGCTCCACCCCTCCTCACCGAGAGGACACAGCTTACAAAAACGTAAATATCCCCACAGGCCACTTTAGCTAATTATTATTTAAATGGTGCTGCAGTCAGGCGGCGGTGCGATCTGCATAAGCAGATTGATAGGCCGCTTTCTCCCTGTAGAAATTGAAACAGTCACCCCACTCTGATCCCGGCTAATAGGCCCAGGCGTGGATTGTTTAATGGCCACGATGTGTTTGTTCTCCCTCCGTCACCCCAGCCTGTTAGGGCAGCTCTAATCTTTAACCTGTCGACTCCCACATTAAGCGGGCCTCCGAGAGGAGGAGGGAGCGACTGAGCAGAGTTATGAGGAGCGTTTTAAACTAGTTAAATTATCCACCGAGCAGCATTCTGCACATATATCCCACTGATATCAGACACAGAGGGAAGGAGGCATAAAGCCACACCGTCCAGTTTAAATCATGATGGAGAAATGCTGCCATTGGTTGATTAAAACCAGGGAGAGGATAAAGGAAGAGTTAAATTCTATATAATAATAATAACAATAATAATAATATCCTGAAAATGAGACCTTATAGCAGGTATTTGGAAAAAAACCCAAACAACCCATAATGCTGTTAAACAGTCAGAACCCACTGCTGCTCTGTACCATGTGTAGCATGTCAATGAAATGCTCATCGACTTTATGTGACTTCCAGGTTCATAAAAACAGAGACGAAGGACTCCCTGCATATGCAACCAAAGACAGTTCCAGCATTCCTGGTGAGCACAGACTTCTTCTTCTTCTTCTTCTTCTTCAGTTCGTTAGTTTAAAAGTCCACATGGTGGGACATCATCAGCTTTGTGCACGTCACTCTTCTGATGAAATAGTAGTTAGATTACTTCATCAGCTGTCCAGAGAAGAGTTTTTCATTCATATACGAACCCTCAGAAACGTTTTATTTTCTCTACCGTGTGCATGAAGCTACGTCTGTCCTCCTGCACTTGTTTTACGATGTCTTGGTTTCATCAAATGTTTGAACATTTTTTTTACACTCTTCCATCAGACAGCATCACACCATCTGTCTGACCAAACGGTCCCGATCCCAGTCCGCTGTGTCGTAGCATCTTTGTTCTGTTTATTGTCTGAGTGGTTTTATAGAGTCTCTGTGAGCCTCATCTTGCTGTGACGTTTCATTTGCTCCTCTCATCTCCCACTCTGACCCTTTTGCCGGAGAAAATGTCTTCTGTGTGTTTTGTACGAGTGTACACACACACATACACTCGTACACATGACGCACAAACACACAAAGGAGACGCGCAGCATGCGTACACTTAGTTATCTCCATGTGTCCGGATAACCAGCTCAGCCAATGGGCCTTACTGGATCTCTCTTCCTGTCTGTGTCCCTCGTCTTCTCCCTCCAGATGAAAACAAAGAGCAGAATAGTTTCTTTGTGCCGGAGAGCGAGACGTCGGCGCCGGACTACTGGAGGGAGAGCTCAGGTACAAACACTCACTTACGTCTTTCACAAGTGGTTGCAGAGCAGCCGCAGCCAGACGGAGGAAATGGATCGCAAAGAGAAAAGCAAAATGTGAAACTGCCAAATTAGGTTGTTGTGACGGTGATATTTTCATGGCATGGTAGATTTAATGTCTGCATTTTGAATGTCACGTCTGAGGTCATTAACGGACTCCAGATTAAACCACCATGGAATATCTGAATTTAGAAAAAAAAACAAACATAAAAAATCTTAAACTACGACTTTAAAAGGATTACATTTGGTAAATGGCGTTCAGAAGCAGTGAGAGGACGCTGCTCAGGCTTCAGCTTCATCTCCTCTCAGACGGTGAGTTCAGGGATTCATATAAATACACAGAGAGATGAAGCAGCAGTGGAAAGCTGCTGCTGCCGCCGCCTCTCTGCCACGCCGGCTCTCTTTAGCGGCGCTGTCGCCGGGGCTGTTGCTCTTAGGGGGGCCGTTATAGTTCAACAAGAAAACATCAGCTCAGAGATAAGCAGCCGCGCTGGCAATCTCCATCCCAGACCCATATCGCCGCAGACATAATTGCCTTTTTTTTCCTTTCTCAGCGCAAAAAACCTTTCCCGTTTGAAAAAGATCACAGCTTATTGCCTTTTTATATCTGTCAGGAAGACATTAAAAGTGCTTTATGACATCTGTGCCAACATTTATATCTCCCCCCCATTCCCTGATCCCCTGCACACACACACACACCGTAATGATCCCTGCGCATAATGTATAATGTATTTCGAAAAATTACACGAAACAAATTAAATGAGACCACCTTTCCCCTGATTGCCAAACGTCTCCCTGGGCGGTGGGAAGCTCTACGTGATTAGAAGGCCTGATTCCTCTGAGTCCCACCACCCCCCCTCCACTGTCTTTAAACTCTCCTTCTGTTTCTAGGGAGAAAAAATAATCTAATTTTCCATTTATGTAATGCAAACCGCCTTGGCTTTGACTATTCACGGTTAATTGACTGTCAAACGAGGTTGTTATCCTCGGGCACTGTCTGCAAATTTGCTTGTCAAATGAGACAGAGAGAGGAGAGGAAAGGAGAGGAGGAGAGAGAGGAGGAGAGAGAGGAGAGCTCTCTGTGCTCTAAATGAGAGAGAAGCCCAGCGAGGCTTCAGGAGGCAGCACATGAGGCGGCTGGAGGAGAATATACACGTCGAGCTGCTGGATCGCTTCATTTAAGGCGTTCGATGCCTCATTGTCACAACTCACACGTCAGTACAAACACATGCACGACAGTACAGACGCTGTGGATCTGGAGACGGCACGCGATGGAGACGATAAAGTTTAAAAGCAACAAGTAGATTTAATGTCCAGCGTAGCAGAGCTTTAAAATGAAACCCCGTCTGACTATAAGGCTGCTGCTGGCTGTCCTCACCTCAGGCTGCTGCTGGTGTTCACATTAATTCAATTGCCAAAAAATAACATTACAACGCAGCATTTGTCAGCGTTTCTGCTGTTTTGTTCAGAAAAATTGGTGGAATTGTCATCTAGACTCTCAGTTTTCAGCCTCCCTCCTTCACATTAGTGTTAAAACCAGCAGACTGATTTATGCTAATGTGTGTGATTTGATCTGACAGCAGGAGGAGGCTGAAGGCAGCAGCACAGATTACAGGCTTACACTGACCCCCAGAGGCCAGAGGGAGAATCACACCCACAGGAGGCTGAGCGAGGAGCAGAGTTTATGTTGTTAAAGCAGAACACCTGAAACACAGAGAAGAGATCATGTGATATGTGTGTGATAAACATGAACATGTTGGTTTTGTGATAATATTAAAAGTACTTTTAGTGCCAGACGTCATGTACAGAAGTGTTCAGACACTAAACATGTATGTGGTGTATGAGACAACACAAACCATCAGATCAGTTTAATTCACTGAATTTGGCTTCATTCAACAACAGAGTGTTTCCTAAAGTGTTCATTAGATTTAATGAACACTTGCTGTCTCTGAGGTCACTGATGGTTCTGCCGGATCACGCTCTCTTTGTTTTAAACCGGTTGATCCTGTTTGGAGTGTTTTGTGTCCTGAGCTACGTCTGCTCATTCACATTGATCTGCGAAGCCACGTTTAGTTCTGCTGCTCACAGCCGGGTGATGCTGCTCCGTCCGGGTCGGCCTTTAGCCACCACTCAGTCGTTTTTAACTTTACTCGCTTTTCCACTTCTGCAGCTGCTTTTATTGAAACACTTTAACGTTCAGGTGGAGGATTAAAAATTAACACGTTCCAAGTTTGACAATCAGAAAAAGTGTGTTTGTGCAAAACGTCTTTTTTTGTTTTAATGTTTTATGAAATATGAAAGTCTGCTGAGAGTTTAACTGTGTTCCTTTGTGTGTGGACGGAGTCTCTAATGAAGTGTGTGTTGATGTTTTCAGGCGATCAGAGCCAAGGCGCTGCCTCTCCTGTGCCGCTAAAGAAGGACGTGGAGAACATGGAGAAAGGTGAAGACTGTTTATCTGAGTAGCACCAGCTGTAGGTGGACGGGTCCAGTCCTCATAGATCCATAATGCTGAATCAGAAGCAGGGAATGTTTTACTAATTGTTCCCTGTTTTCTCTTTTTTTAAATATATATATCTAATAATGTCTCTTTTCTTCTCCTCCGTGGTGTCCTCCTGCAGAGGAGCTTCAGAAGGTTCTGCTGGAGCAGATCGACTTCAGGAGGAGGCTGGAGCAGGAGTTTCACGCTCTGAAGGGCACCTCGCCGTTTCCTGTCTTCCGTAAGTCATTTTTTCTTTTTTTTTCTCCCCCCCTCACCCCACTTTCCTTTTTTTCTGAAGGACAACTTCTCCTTCTCTGTCTTTAACACCTTTCCTTTATGTCCTCTCTCGACTCTCTGCCTTTCTCCTCCTCTGTTTCCTCTAAACCTCCATAACTGTACTCCATCACTCACTCAGACGATATCACTGCTCCAGCTAATCAGAGATATTTACGCTAATTTCAGATAATTTTCAAGATCAGATGAAACGAGAGCTCGCCTACAGAGAGGAGATGGTCCAGCAGTTACAGATGGTAAGACTAATGGCACGGTGCGATGGAAAAGATGCTTTTAAATGACAAATAAAACCTCCCATTACAGATAGACGAGTTTAAAAAAGCCTCCCTGATTGCTTTAAACAAGCGTCTTTGTAATGATTTTGAGAAAGAATATAATTAGGAGTAATTATGAAGCACTTCTCATTAAAATATAGGTGCACAGTTTGAACAGGAAGCTCAGAAATCAAACACAGACGAGGGAATGTGACAATAATTACTCCATTACGGCTCCGACTACAGCAGATCGGAGACATAATTAGGAAATTCTAAACCTCGGGTTGAAATGAAAACAGAAATTAAATGGTGAGTAAACAGAACCGTCGACTGGACTCTGGTGCTGTTGCTTATTTGTCCATCAAAAGGAAAGATCCAATCATCTAGTTTGTCTTTCATGGGTGACAAGTTCCTCCGCAGCCGTCTGAGTGTTTCCGTCGACATCAATCAGCGGAGCAGCTGGCCGACAGCCTGACAGACGCTGTTTGTCTTCGCTTTCTGACACATGCAACAGCCGAACACGCTTGTATGCACACGAGGCACGCGCACAACAAAACACACACCACAACACACACCACAACACACACCAAAACACACAGCACAACACACACCAAAACACACACCAAAACACACAGCAGAGCGCGCTGCATCCGTGTAAACACGGCGGCACGAGAGCGAGCAGGCGCTGGAGCTCATTTGTAAGTCTGTACGTGCACGCCGACGTGCACAAATTGACGAATGTGTCTCGAGCCGGCAGATGGATCCGTCTGAGGGTAACGACACATTAATTTCACACAGACATTCAAATGAATTACAACAAAATGTGTAATTTGCGCTGCCGTGTGGTAGAATTTAAAAACTTTCTGCGTCTCGCCTGAAGTTTCTACAGCAAAGGAAATTTAGTTTTTTTAATTGTTTAATTCAAAATAAAGGAAAGTGTGTGTTAGAGAAAAACAATGGATTTACTGTCACATAAAATATATATTTATTTATATTAAATGCAAAGTCAGGTGCTGCTGAAGTTTGGCTGTGACCAGCTTAGTTTGGTCTTTTCAGGACTGATCTCGTCTCTTTTTGTGTCTTTCAGATTCCGTACGCAAACATCATCAGGAAAGAGAAAATCAGCTCCCACCTCAACAAGTAGCTGAAAGGTAACCGTGCTTCAGTTTATTAAAACACGAACACACAGTATAAACCCTTTTTCTGTGAGGTTGGCTTAATAACGGCACAACTGTGAACTTAAATTACTTTTTCCTGTTTCACTTCCTTCATAATGAATTATGTCGGCGTTCCAAACTTCGCCCATCAGAGAGTTAAAGCCGGTTAAATTTAGCATCACTGTGGCTTTGACAGGCTGATCCTCAACAGCAGAGTCTCCTGAGCCGCCGTCACAGACTGCAAGCTTTAAAAAAAAGCATCAGTCTTTGTGATAAAGAAAAAAAAAGCGACCCAGAACGTGGACCTAATGTTGGGTTTATTTCTGTTTTCCTCACAGGCGGAGTCAACAGGAGGCTGCTGGAGGCTGCTGGGAAGTTTGTGAATGTCCTTTTGTTTTGTTTTTTTCAAGAAAAGACATGAAAACAGACAGAAATACAGGAGACACGCACCGAACGGGACACGACACTCACGTATACACTCACATTTCCTGGGACGGCGGTTGCTCAGCTGCTTCCTGGCCTCTGTCTCCGCCCGGCACTCTGCTGACAGCTCACTGCTTTGGGGCAGCACACTGGTTCAAGCTTCTGTTTCCTTTCCTCTGGTTCAAGTTTCTCTCCCAAACTGACCGAACCGAACACAGCTGACGTTTCTGCTCTGTCGCCACCGGGTGTGTCGACAGTCAGAGTCCGACCAGGACCAAAGCGACCTCGGCCTTCACTGCCCTTTGTGAACTTTTCAGGGCCGCCGGGAAGACGTGAGTGAATCTGTAGAGATGAAAAGAGACTGTTGGCCCGACTGTACATACAGACTTTGGATGAGAACAGACTTCAAGCTAAAATCATCATTACTGTCGTTGCACCGAAACCCTAAAGAGAAAATAACACATTTTATTTATTGCCAACTTTTAACCCCAAACAGATTCTCCTCATCGGCTGAGATGCTTCCCTGTAAACACAAATCACCACCAGGTATTAATTAGATCCAAGCTCGGCCTGTCCATACGTAGCATGACTGTGGAAAGGAAAAATGATAAAACCTAAAGGAACAGAGAATAGTATTAAAACAGGGGACACATCACAAGCTGTACGCTGGTAGTTTGTGCCTGTAGCTGCACCATCTGGGAGGGATTCATGTACAAACGTTGGACGTCTTGTATTCGCTGCTGCATTGTCATTTTACAGCCTCACACCTGGTTACACATGTTTTACCCCAAAATAACTTCCTGTGTTCATGACATCAAACAGAGCAGCTAGAGTTTAAATCAGTCAAAGTCACACCGACAGTGTTTTTTACTCCCAGATTTTCCAGCTCGTAGCAGCGTTCTTTCTGCCTTGAGCTGCTGGTCGACGGTGAAAATGACAGACCAGTTGTTTGCTTTCTCTCCAGAACAGTGGTCGCGGCAGAAGTCTGTCGCTGTTGTATATCTGTATGTAAATGATTCCACCTGACTGACGAGAACATCCGGCTCACAGTCAGCCCCTATGTGTTTGTTTGTTTATTTATTTGAAGCCCTCAGACCCTGATTGTGAAAATACTATTTATTATAATCTTAAATGAAAAAGAGAGAAACGCTGATGATGCTGGCGGTGGAGTCAAGTGTATGTTTAAAAAGATTAAAAAAAGAAAAGAAGACAACTCACCACCTTGTTTATAGGATGAATGGATGAAGCTGTCATCGACCGGAAAAACGTTATCATGATAAACTGTTAATGAAGATGTATTTCAAAATGTTCTTGTAGTTTCTCTACTATTTATGTGTAAATTAAAAGTCTATACAAAAAAAAAAAAAGAGCCGTTTCATGTTTGTGTCGCTGGAATATTTTTAACTTTAGATCATTTAAAGCTCCTAAAACCAAAGTTTTCAGATCTTGTAATTTCTTAAAAGGCGTTAAAACAAATGTGTGCATTTTAATTGACTAAACTTGTTTATATTCAGCTTTGAGTCACAACTCATCAGTACTGAGGTTATTCGTTCTCCGTTTGTTACAGCGATGAAGCAGAAGTGACAGAATCCAGTCGGCTCACGGTGTGGAGCTCACTGAACAAAATACTGTTATGATGTTAGTCAGAGGGATTCGTGTAATACAGACTATTGTAGGGTCTTAAGATTAACTTTTAAAATTAGAAAATTACAAACATCATTTTAAACACAGCTTCCCTCTTAAACTGCATTTTTATTTCTATTTCACTTCAATTTTAAAAAGAAAATGTTTTCAGCCTCATACTGAGGGGTGCTGTAATAATAGTAACAGAAGTATTTATACTGTAGGGTGTTAAATATCATATAAATATTTGTGGGGTTTTAATCCTTAATATTTAAAATACTTTAGGTAAATTAACACCAGGAATCCTCGGCAAGGTTTTACCTCAACTTTCACTTATTCTTCTACAGTCTTGTTTGTCTGCTGGGAAACACATCTGTGCTGCCTGAATAACGGTGACTTCACTTAATGTTCCTAAATAAGAATATATTAAGAAAATTTATTTTTATGTCTGTGTTGGAAGCAGTTTGGTTCAACTCCTCAAAATATGAAAATGATGGAAACATCGTACATTTAATTAGATGTGGTCAAAACGGCATTATTTTGTGGCTATGGCTTTGTTAGTTAATATTAACTAAAAGGAGGGATATGTATATATTCAGAAACCTGTAATTTTCTCTTTTTATAATCTGTTCCTGTTTTTTGTCCTTTTTTTTCTCGGAATTTTTTAATTTTTTTTAATAAAACGTAAGTCGAATAAATTCCTGCATAATTGCATTCTGCTGTAACATATTTAAATTAAAGCTCTTTTGTTTTAGTTAATCAGACCATAGATATATATAACAAAGGCCTTTATTATATATATCTATGAATCAGACTGACTAACGGGAGATAACGGCCATCAGGCCTGTCGCACGACCTCCGCGGCCGGTTTACGGCAGCTGCATCTCTGGGAGTGGCAGCGACGAAGAAGAAGCAGCAGCAGCAGCAGGAGGAGGAGAAGAAGAAGAAGAAGAAGAAGAAGAAGAAGTTGCCAGCATGGCGTTTACTCTCTACTCCCTCATCCAGACCGCTATTCTGTGCACTAATGCAGTCGCTGTGCTGCATGAAGAGCGGTTCCTCAGCAAGAGTGAGTTCCGACTTATTTTATACATCATTTATATTATTGAAGTGATTTTGATGCTAACAGCAGCTAGCTAGGCTTTGGACACTGTTAGCTGGACAACAGTGGACAGACTGAGATCTGTCAGCAGTAAACTGAGCTTTGGAGGTGAAGTAGATGTGAGGTGTGGAAATCAGATGGATGTTCAACCTTAAACTGATGTTTTATATAAATATATATATATACGTACCAACACTGTATATATGCTGCTATGCTTATTATACCTGCTCCTGTCCTCTGTGTCTTTTTCCTTTTCCTCCATTTTATTTCCTTCCTGTGTTTTTCTGACCACCTCTCTTGTCTTCTGTGTTTCCAGTCGGCTGGGGGGTCGACCAGGGAGTTGGAGGTTTCGGGGACGATCCAGGAGTCAAAGCTCAGGTCCTCAACCTGATCCGCTCAGTCCGGACCGTCATGAGAGGTTGGAGCATCCTTATTTAAAGAAAACTGATTAAATCCACTAAACGTCACACGATGTTTAACTCTGTCTCCATGCAGATCAGACACAGAAGCTGTTTCCTAATGAAACACTCTTTAAATCAGAACCGTGGTACCAGTGTTTGATCCCTTGTGCTTCACACAGAATGGAAGTGTTTTGAATCCTGTCCTGATATTTCCAGATGGAGGATTTTCTGACCAAAGCCACTGATGTTAACTTCCTGTTTGTCCTGTTTTTGTCCTACCAGTGCCTTTAATAATACTGAATTCTGCCTGCATCGTGCTGCTGCTGCTGTTCGGTTGACGGTCGGCGCATCGAGGACTGAACACGTGACCACATGATCTCATTCTGAACGGTTTGTCATTTAGAGACTTCTGCCATCGTTGGTATGGACTTCCTGTCACCGGCGCCAAAAGGACAAAACTCATTAACTCACTTGAAGGTTTGACGCCACTCGGCCACAGGACGACTACATCCAGAACTTTGGTTTTGCACAGAGAGTGTTTGTTCTCACTTCTATCGTGTTGTTGTGGACACACTGAGACGTTTGATGATTGAATGATTTGTGTTTTGTAAAAAGTTCAGCAGTGGAGAGTTGACGGAGGACTCACAGGTCATGTTTGGAGATTTTAAACAATGCGGGTGCAAAAATTATAAGAAGCTTTAATCCTGTGAGTGTAACAGATTTAAACTTGTGTAACATGTCGATGGACACAGAGGGGGATGATATTAGTTCATCAAGTTAAAGTAAAGGTTTTATTATTTCCAGTGGGCCTGCAGGGCTTTTAGGGCGTCATGCTGGATTAGTATCCTCATGAACTTTGTGACAATGAGCAATTCACAAAAAACTAAAATGAACAACCTCCTTATTGATGAGTAAAATGCTCTGTGACGTATCCTCTGTGCCAATTACATTAAATGTACATTTTAAGCATTATTACCAAACCGATGTTCTTTGTACTGTTTACACGTTAACACCTCTCAGCCGTCGAGGTGGTTTGTTGTCTGAAATAAACGTCTTATTCAGTTTCATGAAGTTCTTATCGTCTTTCTTTGGCAGCAGAGGAGCAGAAAAACTGAAATGTGGATCAGAGCTGCAGCTGTTCTCCATTTAAATTAGCCTCTAAATGTCCTCTGACTGGGGAGCAAATAACAAAGATAGATGTTGATCATCATGTCTGTGGAGGAGGACGCTGCATCTCTGACTTGCAGGTGGATCAGCACCAGTAGAACCAGTAGAACCAGTAGAACCAGCCGAATGTGGCACCTCAGAGTCTGCTGATTAGAGGGTTCACACATTATTTACACCGTTCATACCTGTATTCATACCTGTATTCATACCGTGGCTTTCTTAACCTGAAAAACATTAGAAGACATTGTTTTGTTTCTCGTCTGAACTCTGAGGTTTCATCGACCAGAAGTCTCTCTCTCATCTCCAGCTGTAGTAGAAAGTCGCAGCTTCTTCCTGTTTTATTGAACGACATCACTTCAGTCCTGGTTTTAAATTCATTTTAAGACTTTGCTTTAAACACTGAGCTGCACGGTGGATCAGTGGATGGAACCGTCGCCTCATAGCTAGAAGATCCTGGTCCCGGTGAGGACACCCGGGATCTTCCTGCGTGGAGTCTCCATGTTCTCCCCGTGCAGCGTGGGTTCTCTCCGGGTTCTCTGGCTTCCTCCCACAGTCCAGAAACATGCTGAGGTTAATTGGTGATTGTAAATTGTCCGTAGGTGTGAATGTGGTTGGTTGTCTGTGTGTAGAGAGTGTCCTGTGCCTTAACCCTGAGTCAGCATCTTTTAATTGCTTTTTTAAGTTTTTATGGCTTTAATTTTATTGTTTCCTATTTTTGCATCATCTGGCTCTGTCCGGCCTTCCTGTCTGCCTTCATCCTGCGTTTGCTTTTCCTGTGTTCTGTTCTCTCTACTTCTAGCCACGGTTGTGCTGTTTTCATGTGCAGGATTTTTATTTATTTTTTTATTGCAGTAAGAAATAAACTCACTGTGAGTGAAGGAGCTCCCAGAACCAGCCTGGAGAATGAAGTCAAGTGCAGTCAAAACACAGCTGTTCTTACTCCTTAGGATTCTTGGGGCTAACTCCTCCTTTGCTTGACCAGATGACGAGTCATTACTTCTGCTCGTACACGACGCTGTGGTTTCTTCTCGCTGTGTAAATATTGACGTATTTCTCTCCGCTTCATGTTTGTCCATCCACCCCGCTTCACTAATAATCCCCATATGTCGTGAATTATCACCATTTCCTCTCCCGCTAAGCTGCACGACCACGTTTATTAACATTAGTTTTGACCCTAAATATGTGGGAGGTGGTGTGAGAGGGGAAAGGAGATCTGCTGGAATTAGAAGCATATGTTTACCAGGCAGCTTTGCACAGTAAAGCCACTTTGATATGTGATTAGTCAGAGTTTATCTGGGGATCCGCAGGAAAATCTGTCAGCGATCACAGGCGACTGTACACGAGCACGTATCTGCACTTCACAGGTCATGTGGGGTGTTTGGGTCTCTGGTTCGTCTCTGTGGGACTTACTGTCCTCATCACTGCTGAGTTTTTTGGTATGTCTTTAAAAAAAAAAGTTTCCTATTTTAAAAATCAGAAATCAGCTTCAATTGTCATGAAATGTCCTTTTATAATAACACAGCAGCTGTAAAACCAAATATAATTTACAAAGAAAATAGAAAAAAACAAGTCAGAAAAGTTGTTCACAAGAACAATAGAGATAAATGAAAACTTATAGTTGGTAAAGTTTAAAAACCTTAAACATTCCATTGATGGTTTTTACCCTAATTTACATACCGGATGCATAAACAGAAAGAAAATTTGAATAGTCTGATTGTGCAAGAGGTTTTAAAGGAGTGAAAAACAGCATTAAAACCAGAAACAAAACATTAAAGTTATATTTCACGAGGAAGGGATTTAAAACGTGGCACCAGTTGCATGTTTCATCCGGACAAAGGAATTTACAGCCTCAGATTAGTTCCTGACCGTCTTGTTTTTCCACAATTATCATCTGAGCAACAAAATATTTGTGCAAAAAAACAAAATGAAGGCCTAAAAAACAGCAGTTATTCACTATGAGGAGGTAAAAGAGGATTTGATCAGCGCTGTCTGGCGTCGTGCAGAGAAGGTTTTTATCGTTTTTAATACCACCCGCCATGTTAAATCTATCCTAATGCGATACATCTGTTGGTTGTTAGTGTGATGGAATACATATGTTTTTTTTTATTATTCTAATGAGTGATTAAGAGGTTAAGGATAACCCTCTTATCTGATTATGGCCGATAAATTGGAAAAACATAATAACAATCTATTAAAAAGAGAGCCAGTGATATTGAAAAGAGAGGGAGAGATATTAAAAGATGTTTTTTCCTCTCATAACAGAACATAACGTGTAATACTTCATACATAATCGAGACATTGATGAAAACAATGTGGACGCGTTTGCTCTGGTTGAGCTGTAGGGGGCAGCACCGAGCACCGAGACAACACAACCCGCTTTAGACCGACGAAGAAGAAAACGTCACCAGGAGGCAGGAAGTAGAGCTGCTGCAGCTAAAGGTTAGCCGAGCGCTTTCTTGGTTTTCTGAGCTTCTGCGGGGTTTTCAGCTAATGTGCTGTTTGTAAAATGAAAACAGCGACATGTGCTAACAGCGGAGAAGTCGCTTTTTGCGCAAAAGTTTAAAATTAGGCCTCGTAAAGTGAATGTTAGGGTTCATGTGTGAGACCAGCTGCAGGAGACTGTAGATAACACAGTGTTGGAGCAGCATAAGGTAGCATGGGGATGTCATGTTCAGCGACTGGAAAGTTAATTATTATTACTGTTTATTTTTTAAAGCATTTTACCTGAATAGAACTTCGTCCAGTCTGCGTGTTCTTACAGGACACCATGGAGTCACATAAAGCAGCAGCACAGGGCAGGAAGTAGATCAACAGTGAAACTACTTCAAACATCTTCTAGATCATCACAACACAATTCATTAACTGCTGACTAAAAATGGATAAGCATGTATTAGAATGTGCCAAAGAAAGTCAGAGAACAGTCAGAGTAAATACTAACTGATCAGTAGTAATAATAATAATAATAATAGTAGTAGTAGTAAACTTTGTTTGTTGAGCTCTTTTCAAAATAAACGTTACAAAGTGCTTTTCAGTAAAAAATAAATTAAACATTAAAATCCAATAAGCACACAGAATAACTGATAAAAGTAGGAAGCACACAAATAAATCAGGAAGCTATAAAACATATAATTTTAAACTTGAATAAAATCAGGAAAAGCTCTCCGCTAAAAATGTGTTTTATGAACTGGCAAAAATAAATCTGACTAATAATTAAACTAATAAACTCCTGAAGCATGAGGAGCAGGTGTTGGAGAACGAAGCTCGTTGACTCTCAGCTCTGATTTCTCTTTAACACCCCGACCACACCCACCTACAGCATGAGCTTATTGTCAGCTCGTCTCTGATGGTTCAGTTTCCTGTCATCAGCTGAGATAAATACAGATAACGGATGAGTGACCCACAGACTGTGTGCGTGCTCTGTTAGGTGGGCACTAAGAGCATTAATTGTACCCTCACATTGATAACTACATGACAGAAATCCAAGCATGTCTAAATAATAGCGGATCACAGGAACCAGCAGAACACGATCCCCAAATCTGTGTTCCAGGCACAAACCCACACATGAAACCGCTCAGTAATCCGTTTGAACAACGCCGTAATCTGATCAATTCTGCCGCTACCGATGTGAATTATGATTATGAACGTATTATCTCTGAAATAATATATTATTATGAACGAATAAGCTGTTTTAAAACTGCGTAAAGCTCCACTTACAGCAGACCTCGGTCATGTTTAGCTTTTTGGAAAAACATAATCAGAGTCCGAGCAGCTCTTCTCTAATATGTGATCTAACATGTTGAAGATGTCGCCTGTTGACAAGCAAATGGAAGGAACAGTTAGAATTAGAGCTGTTTTCTGGGAATATGTGATTTATTAACATTTAACAGATTGATTATCGATTGTGTAATTCCTTTTTTAACAGAGGCGTCTGTGTCATCCTGTCGGCTTCTCACTGCCTCCACAAGCGACGGAACGTTTCTGAAATTCAGGTCACAGTTAGAGCTGCAACAATTAGCTGATTAATTAATTAGCTGATTGACAGAAAGTTAATTTTGCTCCAGTGAGTCGTTGACATCATTTTGCCAGAACTCTGCTTCCTGCTGCTGTAAATCTGAATACGTTTAAACTGTGGACGGGCGATCATTTCATCGTGTCCTTCTGGCTTCCAGGATGTTGTGATAGTGATTTGTTTTCTACAGTTTTTTAGACCAGCTGAATAATAGAGAAAAGATTGATCAACATTTCAATTTCCCCATGTTCTCCTCTGCAGGCCTCCAGCATGGCAGGCAGACGGGCCCTGAAGGCTGTGCTCATCGACCTGAGTGGAACTCTACATATAGAGGACACGGCGGTACCTGGAGCCCAGGAAGCCCTCAGCAGGTAGGAAACAGGAACAGCCAAACACACTGAGGGATGAGAGCCTTGATGGTGCAGCATGGATGAAAACTGGCAGGACTCGGTATCAGCGGTCGTTGGCAAAAGTCTTCTTACTGAATCCTTCTTTGTTGTTGTGGTAGATTCTAAAGGTGCTTTGAGCTGCAGGATGCTTTGATGTTTGTGCACCACCAGGTTGCGTCAGGCGTCTGTAGCTGTGAAGTTTGTGACCAACACCACCAAGGAGAGCAGGAGGAACTTACTGGAGCGACTGCAGCGCCTCAACTTCGACCTGCAGGTGAAACAGTCAAACAGCTTCTGTCTGTCTTTTGTTCCTGCAAATGCTTTAACTTTAATGTCAAAGACTGCAGATGAACTTCACTACAGCGAGCAGGAGCTTCACTGGGCTCCTCGGTGCTCTGTGGTGTAGAAAAAGGCACTTCAGGGATCAAAATGTACTTCATGTGATGCACTGACTGGATCAACACATGAAGCGGTTCCTCTGCTGCCTCTCGACCCCTTGTTGTTGAAAACCGACTCTGCTCTGCAGGAGAAGGAGATCTTCACCTCTCTGAGTGCAGCGAGGAGCCTGTTGGAGCAGAAGCAGCACCGACCGCTGCTGCTGGTGGAGGACGGCGCGCTGGAAGACTTCACTGGTGTGTGAGACGGAGAGAGAAGCAGAGCTGATGTTATAGAGCAGCTCTCCTGTAAACCTGTAGCTGAGTAGACATCGTGTCAGACATAAGCCGACCCGTCCCCTCCAGACTTCTGCTTGGTACAGCTTGTCTCTTGCTCTGCAGGTATCGACACGTCAGAGCCGAACGCCGTCGTGGTCGGACTCGCTCCTGATCACTTCAACTACCAAACACTCAACACAGCTTTCAGGTGGTAAACTCATTCCTGGCAGCTTCTTCAGAGCATTTAGTCTGTGATAGATTCTGGTTGTTGATGGTTTGATGGTTGTTGTGTCTTATTTCTTCAGAACTTAGTGAGAACCAAGTGAGACCTCATAACAAACTCATGATGAGCAGCAGACGTTGCAGGATTGCTGATAGAACTCGTTTGTCTTCCTTATCTTCCCTCTTTGTTTCCGTATTGTTCTGATGCGTATTTCTCTCTAGGATGATTCTGGACGGAGCTCCTCTCATCGCCATCCATAAGGCTCGCTACTACAAGCGTAAGGACGGCTTGGCCCTCGGTCCCGGGCCCTTTGTGACAGGCCTGGAGTACGCCACCGACCGTAAAGCTACCGTAGTGGGAAAACCTGAAGAGACGTTTTTTGCTCAGGTTAGAGTTTTTGTCACCATGATGTGCTTCTGTTTTCAGTCTTACTGTGAAGTCCACATGATGGTTTTATGAACAGGTTTAGTCTTGGTTTAGTGTGTTTTGGAGCTAATTTAATCCTGTAAATAAAGACTGGTGGTTGTTCTCTTCAACAGGCTCTGTCTGATCTGGGATGTAGCCCCAGTGAGGCCGTCATGATCGGAGATGTAAGTCTGTTTTCAGTGTGGCTGTCAACCATGAGACCAACATCAAACTGATGTCTGTGGTGTTTTTTAGAAACTTCTCACAGCTTTGACTGATTGTAAAACTATCAGCCTCTAGAATCGTTTCTGTTCTTCCCTCTCGAAACAAATCACGAGAGTACGGTTCAGTAGAAATCTTTTCTTCAGCAGCTTGTGAACACGAGTCTATGAACTCTGTACATTTGACTTAAGGTTTGGTTTGTGTCTCTACAGGATGCCAGGGATGATGTAGGCGGGGCTCAGAGTGCAGGGATGCTGGGTATTCTGGTTCGAACTGGTGAGTTGAAGAAACAGTCCTTCACCAGCTTCACGTCACCTTCATCTCTTCTCATCAGACCACACGTTGGTCTCCATCCTTACTCACCACCAACCCTTCATCTGACTCCCTGTTTTCATCATAACTCACTTTTCTGATGAGTATTCCTGCTTTCGTGTTTGATGACGTTCTGTCGTCTCTTCTGTCACGTTTCAGGTAAATACAGAGACGGAGATGAAGGTAAAATCGACCCACCTCCACACCTCACATGTGACAGTTTCCCAGATGCTGTTGAACACATCCTGCAGAACCTGCTGTGAGCTCCACATAAGGACAAACCACCAGAGTCTCATTAGCTCATAGAATATTTCATTTAAAGACAAGTTGTGTTTTAACAACAGAGAGAATGACGTTACTAAATGACTGCGCCGTCCAGACGTTTTGAATGAGAGGAAATAATTCTGCTGTCGTAGATTCACCGACTCCCAGATTCACGGAGATAACTTTGTGCAAGGGATCAATCTGCTCAGAATAAACAGTATTTAATGTGCTAGTCGTCTGTGTTTCCACCATAACAAGATCTTTGTTATATTAGGGTGCACAAAATTATACATAAATAAAAGAAATGATGGCATTTGTCATTATATTTTATTGTGTTTAACTGAATTTTGCATAGACAGCCTGTAGAACAGCTGCATGGCTCGTTTTCAGGAGCTTCTTCTGGAGCTTCTACGTTATTTCAGTACTTTGTTTTGTCCCTTCAGCTTGTCAGAACAGTGTTTTTTGAGAAGCACTCAGCTGTTAGAACCCTGCGCTGCTCCGGCTTACTGTGACACATATCTGAAGCTAGAGAACATATTTGTGCTTTGCCTGCAGTAGATGAATTATTATCTGGAAGAACAAAGTCTTATCCAGAAGCTAGTTGTGGAAGTTGGTGTAGAAGTCTTTTCTTTCCTCCACGCTAACGCCTGCGTGTGCGTCAGACCGACTTGTACTCTCTCTCCCAGGCCGTGTACCGGTCCATCAGGTTCCGGGCCGAGGGTTTGGTGTGTGCGATCACCTCCAGGAAGTCTGCTGTTGTTACCGTTTCCAGCTGGATGGCAGGAATGTCAGCGTCTCCTGTGGAGGAGAAGCACAGTCAGGCTACAGCGTTTATGTAGAAACAGACAACGTGGCTGTTGAGGGTTGACTGTGAGCTGCTCATCTGTTAGCATGTGTGCTGTCCCACCGGCCTGATGGGACTCCAGAGCATCAAAGATCTTGCGGACTGGTCTCATGGCGGCCTCCTTACACACCAGGCGTATGTCAGAGCCAGAGTAGCCCTCCGTCTCCTGGAGCACACAAACACCAACATTGAAATAGAATTTTATTAATTGAAAAAAAAAAAAAAAAATACAAGTGAAACACATTCTAATCAAACACTCGGCAAACGAAAAGAGCCAAAGGAGGAAACACACCTGTGCCAGCGTTTTGTAGTCCAGCGCCGTTCGTAGCTCCACTCCTCCTGAGGCGTCGAGAGGAGGCAGCCAATGAGAGATCATGGCTTGGCGAGCTGACGAGGAGGGAAGACTCACTAAGATCCTCTTCTCCAGCCTCCTCAGCATGGCGTGGTCCAGCTCCCTGAGAGGAGAGCCAGATCTGTTACCACCCTGGAGACACAGCAGCTAGCTGGTGTCCATTTCTCTTCTGCTTTTCTTTCTATGTTGACGCTTGCCCTCAGATCCAAGAATCAAGACCCACACATCCCTTTATATTAATTTCTGAACAGTTACACACACGTGTTGTTATTGCAGAATATACATGCATGTGTGTGCTTCAGCGTTACCAGGGCAGGTTGGAGGCAGCCAGCACAAACACCAGGTCGTCTGATTTGGCCAGTCCGTCCATCTGGACCAGCAGCTCCGTCTTCATCCTGCGACTCCCCTCGTGCTCGCCTCTGAAAGCGGACATCAGTCTGCTGTTACATCAGAGTTTTGTTTGTTTTTTGCATTTACACAAGTCATTTAAAGCAGTTGTTAACGAGCAAGGACGTTTATTCATGTAGCACCGTATCGCACACACAGAGGTTAGTTAATGAGCTTCACCTGCAGATTAAAACAGAACAAAATGAAATGAATGGACTCAAAATGTAGGTAGCAAATGACTGAACACCAGAACAGACACGTTGGGTGAGTGCACACAGAGATATAGAAAAAATAATGATCGACTAAAACAGCTTAAAAGATGTCAGAAACAAAAGCAGTAACGTGTACAAGAACAACTCAAATCTAGGTTTCCTGAGCTCACCCCGTGCTCGCTCCTCTCTGGCTCATCACTGATTCCAGCTCGTCCAGGAAGACGGTGGACGGCGCGTGGTACCGAGCCAGCTCAAACAGAACCTGCACACATGTACGTTCGTTGACAAATCCAACCTAAAAGACAGGAAACGTGTGTGTTGACTCGTTTATGTGGAGCTCCTACCCTGACCAGCTTCTCGGAGTCTCCCCTCCACTTGCTGACGATGCTGGAGGCGGAGATGTTGAAGAAGGTCGTCTTACACTCTGTGGCCACAGCTTTGGCCAGCAGCGTCTTACCGGTGCCTGTGTGGATGGAGTCAGATGGTGGTTAGAGTGTGTGTGAGGTTGAAGCAAAGCAAAGAACAAACGCTGAAGGTCTGACCTGGTGGGCCGTAGAGCAGCAAGCCCTTCCACGGAGACAGGATGCCCGTGAACAGCTGAGGGTACTGAGGAAAGAACAGGGCAAAGGAGACGAGGAGCAGATAGTGAGCAATATATGAATAAAACAGATAAACCTCTGGTAGATCACGTTATAGTTGCAAACATCATCGTCCAGCAACAACACGTGGATTTCCATTTTGCTCAGAGCGGTCAGAAGCTGAGCTGTGCGCTAAGACACCGGATGATGTATGGCTGAGTCAGTGCTGCAAATACCACACAGCACAAATTAGTCTAGATTTTAGGCTGCAAACAGAGGCTGACTCAAATCACCAAACTGACCTTATAGCACAGAGAATGAATAATAATGGAGACAAAAGTTAGGGATTGTGGAGAGGTGGAGGGACTGTGTTATTCAATAAAGGAGGCCAGCAGAATAGACTGGAGGAGATCAGACCCATCAGTCCTCATCTTGGTCTGTAAATGTCAAGAGGATGCAGACAAGCTGATTTGTTGTCATACATCCATGAGAAAGGTCTGGGTGATGATGATAGAAGCGTGTGGATGTGTTCTGTGTGTGTGTGTGTGTCTGATTTTATCCATACACGGAGGCAAAGTTGTGTGATTGTGGCTGCGTATAATAAATTCTACATGGCACCCCGTGTGCGAGCGCTGCTGCCTCCCTGTCTGTCTATCCATCTGTGTACGCCTGTTCCCATATTATCCCAGATATGGATTTAATGTCAGTCTAATAGACTGGCCTGACCTCACTGCCCTGCTTCTCTTAAAGCCCTTTAAAGGAGATGTATTCAGAATCGAAGACGGGCGACCGACGCTGAAATACCAGCGTGCTGGGGCGGCGGCCGCACCTTAATGGGATAAACGACGGCCTCTTTGACTAATCGCTTGGCGTCCTCCAGACCGATGATGTCCTCCCAGCGCACGTTGGGGCTGTGCAAATAGATGTCCTGTAGGGGTGAGCAGACACACGGGGTGAAGGACGACATCAGCGAGAAATGAACACACACATTCTGATGGCGGGAGGCTAAATAGGTGTCCTTTAGAACGAAACATCAGATAAGGGAAATGGATCGGACCTGGGCCTTCATTAATACAGCACATCAATTCATTCACAACGCAGCTCTGCACTGCTCTCTAGTGGACGCATTCAGGATCAGTCACACGGGGCATTTTCACATTTATGCATTAGGTTCTGTGGCACAAGTTCAGATAAAATCGCGGGTTTGCTTCTGAGCGTGTGCAGGATTATGTGTCAGTACCCTGCTGATGATGGCAGCCAGTTCCCTCATCTCGCCGTTCATCCCAGAGCAGCCGCTGAGAGGCTTCAGCAGCCGCTCCTGCAGGAATAAGATCACTGTTACTGGTGGCAGAGGAGAGCTTTCAGTAGGATTACTGCTCAACTTTTACATTTTTTTTTACAGTTTATATCTTTTGGAAAATACTAAAATATAACATTGAAAATAGCCGTTTTACAGACTCATGAGGTTTTTTTTTTTATTCCCTGAGTGTTTGAAACGCTGTGGTGTGTTTACCATGTGGTCTGAGTCGACGCCAGCTCCTCTGACAGCATCGTGGACTGCACCTTTGCCATCAGTCATCTGAGCCAAAGGCAAACAGTAGAAGATTTTACACGATGCATGAAAAGAATAATCTGACAGCAGTGGTTTCAAAATGTCATAGAACTGTGAGCATATTTATGTGTGTGTGCTCTGCAGAATATTCATGGCAGATATGGCAGTGCCCATTATTGGTATTTAGCCCAGGACATGATGGGTTTGCATGGGAATGCAGGAAAGATACGAGTAACTAGCACAAATAAAATGTGTGTGTCAGTCGCTGCAAACCCACAGCAGAAGCTTGTATTCAGAACGAGGGCTTTGCTTCTGATTCCTAGAACATTTGGAGCTTTCCCAGTACCTTCCTGATCCCTGCCGATGTCCCAGTGGATCCATTTCTGATTGAGGAAACATTGAGGCCAAACTCCGATGACTCTGGAGCAGCAGAAGTACCGTTCTCCTGGAAAATGGATCACATCAGTCAGGAGAAATAGCTTCATATCTTAGCATACTTGGGCTGTTTTGTTTCGATGCTCAGTGCTGCGTATTTACGTTCACGCCGGCGGCCGTCCTCTTGGCTCCGTTTCCGGACTGTGGGTTCTGAGACGGGCCGATTTTGGGAAGAGGTTTCACAGCTGAACAGGGGCTTCTGATGACAAGCATGGAATACATGGAAGATTTATTTATTTTTACTAGCTCAGATAATTTTTCAACATTGGCTTGTTGCTCATCCTGTCAGAACATAAGACAGCGTACGTTATGATGTGACTCACCTCTTGACTCCACCACTTCTTGCATGCCGGCTTTCACCTTGACAGAAAAAAATGCATTAAAAGCTGCCTCAGATATGACTGAGATGTAGTTTGTCCCACTGAGCGTGACATGTGATCCAGTGCAGCCAACACACCTGGTTCTGCTGTTCTCCTGGTGAGTCTGGGATACTTCTGGAACTTGACGTAGTGATAGTTCTCGTACTCCATCAGCACCATCTCCAGGTCGATGTTGTCACAAACCTCGAACCTCCTCACGCCGACATTCGTCTCCTGGTCCAAGGCCACTGCTGCTGCTCCATACCTGGGCACACACACATGCTCTCACATGGCAGAGGAACCCAGACAAGGTCAATCACACCTGCTGTCTGATAAAATCTACTGTTAATGCGTTTTTCTTGATGAAGTGCACGTGTCTCACACATGACCGCTGGCTCGTTACTGTCCATCAGATATCTGCTTCTTCATGTGTTTTAGGGTTTGTAAACTGATCCACAGATGCTATTACTTTATACCTTTTCCCTCTCATTTTTTCTCTTAAATTGCATTTGTGTTCTTTCACTTGTTAGTGCAACATTTTCTGTAAAGAACGAGTCTCTGTGTTCTAGCTGTTCTGTTCAGGGACATCTGTGTAAAGAAAACAAACCCAAACTCTGCTCCTTTAAGTATTTTAAGAAACTTTGGTTCAGACCAACATCTGAATGAACTAACAAGTCGACTCTGACGCGCCGCTGAAGCTCAGCAGGAGCTGCATACTAACCCTTGGCCCAGCAGGTGGTGGTAGATGAGGATGAGGAGGTTCTTCTTCCTCATTTCAGTCCTCAGCTCGTCCTGTTGAACACAGAACATGCTCAGTGCTGGAACACAGCAGCAGCTCAAAATGAAAGCAAATTTGGCCATTTTAAAGCATATAATACCTCATTTCCATGTTTATATTTAAAAGTTCTGACAACGTGCAATATAAAAAAAAAAATTCTGATTGTAAGTAATTAACTGGAGCAGTTTCATGATGATATCTGTTAGTTACATTTATTTATTTATTTTATTTAAGAATAATAATAAAGATAAATACAGAAATATTATTATTTGTATTATTTTATGTATTTATCTTTATATTTCTCCTTGTATTAGCATTTTCTTTTATGGATTCATTTTTGATTAATATTGCTTTATATTGCCACATTATTTATTTTTTTATTTCATTTATTCTTCTTTTTATTTCCACTTTTATTTTATTATTCTTTTACTGATTTATTTCTACAGAAGGTCCTGAGCACTGCTTCATCCATGCGGAGCGTTGGTGTGAAGAGACGACACGTTGCCAGCAGAGGGCGAAAAATCACCACACATGACTGCGTCGCTAGGCAACCGGTGGACGCCGAGTGTTGAGCCTCTGTATGAAAGCTAACCCAGCTAGCCTCATTAGCTCACCGGCTAACTGCCAACCTTGTCCCAGTGACACTTTAAAACCTGTTCCCCGCAATATACCCACAGAACCAACCGACACTAAACCGGTACTGGTCGGGTTATTTAATCATGGACGGTTCCGGTAGTTTAGTCCCCCTTTTCAGTTGCTACACAGTTAGCATAAAAGTTGTTAGCTCACCTGTCCGCCAAACCTGCTGGAAACTACAGAAACAAAAGCCGTCTGTCCACTCACCGCCTCTCGGGCTTGATGGGCGACTTTCATGGACTGATAGGAGAGATCCATCACGGCTCTGACCGGTCCGGGAAGCTCGTTGGTTCGGCGGTTGGTGCTGAGGTTTGTCCGCAGTGTTGTTGTGTGTGAGTGTCCCCTCTGGGCCACCGTACATACAGGCGGACCGAACACGAGCAAAATACAACAACAACAACAACAACAACAACAGAGATCAGTTTTATTTATTCATTTACATTTATTGTTAATTTAGTTGTTTGTTTGTTTTTTTCAAATGTTTTCCACGTTTCACAGCAGATTGGTATTTAAAGGAGATATAATATAAGATCAGCCTTTATTTATCTCACAGTGGAGAAATTTACATTGTTGTGAGCAGCATTACACACAGAGATACACACATACTAGACAGAAAAATGTACATATAAATATGAGAAATAGTGCAAACAGAATATGAGAATGATATAAGTGGTGTTCAGAGCTGATATCTGGTACATTTGCCTTTAGAATGAGAATCTTGTCAAACAACTTTAATACAGACTTTAGTTATAAATGCCTTGTTTCTGTTTTTTACATATGTATAATTAAGACACCTTTCAGCCTGTTTATGAATGAGTTCAGACAAGCAGCTCCATCAGTAACCTGCCGCGTACACACTGATGCTTCACTATTTATAATCTAATGTCATCATACGTCTATCGTAGGGTAAAAACAATAATTTCCCTTTAAAGGCTTTAACTCCATCTTTGTGTTCATGCTCTTGTACTTTTACTCTTGTACGATGTTTCATGCAGGACTTGCAAAGGAGGATATTTTCATTACTGTGTTGATATTCTGACTGAAGTGAAGGATCTGAATGTTTCTTCCACTCCTGGTGTTTGCTGAAAGCCTCATCCGGAGATAATGTTTTAGTTCTATTCACAACATTTCATCAAATAATACCACTTGATGTTTGCGGTACTGGATGCCTCCACTAGAGAGCAGGAAAGCTCACAGACTGTATAAGAAACATGTAGTTGGTGTATGAATGAAGGCCTTTCTGTTCTTTATAATTCCCGTTAATGTGTCACTCTTCAGGACTCCCTGTATGCTCTACTGGATGTGTTTTAGTGGTTATCTACCATGCAGTGGTGAATGTTGTGTCTTTGTGAGCAGCGTGTGGCTGATGAACATGTCTGTGTCGGCGGTGTGTATTTTTGGGGAGGTGTGTTTGTATCCATGGTAATACTTCTACATCTCCATCTCTGTGTTTGTGTACCAGACGTCTAACTTCAGCAGCCGGTGGGAGGACATCAGCAGCCTGGAAGAATCCCAACAATCAGTCAAAGAAGCTGTCGTCTGTCCCATTAAGGTGCGACTACTGTTCAAGCAGGCTGGTATGTCAGCACCGCTCGCCCTCATTCCATTCTGAATATATCTCCCTTAAAGGGCTTAAGGAGGAGGAGGCCAATAAGGTCAGGTCGGTCTGTTAGACTGACATTAAATCTATATCTGGGATAATATGGGAACACACACACACACCGATGGATAGATGGGCAACAGGGAAATAACAAAGTGGACATATATATATATAAACAACCTCATACACCGGCTACAAGCAGCACACATGCAGAACACGTGCACCTCTATGCAAACACACAGCACCAGACCCAGACGTGCACACATCCACAGAAGAAGGACCATCTTCTATCATCACACCCAGACCTCAGATATGACAACAAATCAGTTTGTCTGCATCCTCTTGACATTTACAGACAGAGATGAGGACTGATGTGTTTATCTGCTCTTCTGCTGGCCTGTTTTTATTGAATAACACCATCTGGTCTCACAGCTTCTCTCCACCTAGCAGCAGTCCCTAAAACCCCTGCCTCTAGTCTTTATGTCTTTAAATCAACTCTCTGGAGTATATGAGGTCAGCTTTGTGATTTCACTCATCTTCTGTTTCGCCCTTCAGATCGATCCTTTGTTTGGTTTTGTAGAAGAAATGCATTTGTTTTGGATTACGTGCTGTAATTATAATTAACCAAAATCCATGACTATCATACTCCTGAGCGTCATAGCTTAGCTGCAGTTATAGGCCACTGATGGTGGTCCCAGTTCCAGCATCTTTTCCAACACTATGGTTGTATTTTGTCATATTGTAGCTGCCCTGGACATAGCAGCAGTGCTATAACTTCATAAAAGGTTCAGTTCAGGTGTATATAAAAGTAGTTTGCTGCAACTCCTTTAAATGAAATCAATAAACAGAGGTCTACCAGTGGCACTGGCATCAGGGCAGACATGAGAGGGGGTTGTGAGGCTCCACACGGTTCGTGCACTTGGAAGATGATTTGTTTTCCAGCAAGACAATGACCCGAATCATAGAGCCAAAGTCACACAGAACTAGTTTAAAAGAGGAGCTGAGCCCAAGAAAACCAGGTCTCTCATCACTTTTAACTCAGAATGTTGCACAACATGCTCTGTCCTTTTCTTCTGGTGTGTATCTGTGTCTGTATGCTGTCAGCTGTAACGCTTTACTTTTTGTCTATTAGCAGTTTTGGTCAAACCCAGCATGCATTGCAGCGTACTCTGTCCTTATGTAATGAACAAAAAGAGAACGATAGTTGTCAGATAAAACAAATGCATAGAAACAACAACAAAGCAGGCGTTTATGATTTTATTTAAAAAACATGTATTTCTTCTGGCACTGTCAGTTTCAATCTTTACCCCCAGTGAATTGCACATCTGGCACAGTAATACATTTACTATTTCACCATCCGTCTGAGACCACACGGCACGGACGCAGCTCGATGGAAACTCATTACCACTAGTTACAGTATGCCTTCAGTTCAGCAGAAACCTTAAATGATTTTGTCTTCAGTCTGAACATGAGGCTGTTATATTTGCACATACAGCAGCTTTGTACCGTAGAACTCCAACAGGAAAAACACATGTAGTGTTTGGCATGATATTAGGATTGTGTTTTCCCCCCTCTGTTGGGCCAGCGCTAAACCCCACACCATGAACAGAAGCTGCCGAGGAGCCGAGTCCGATATCATTCAAGTTGATCTCCACAGTATGTTTGAGTCAGAAACGTTTCCAATGAAACGATTACAGTAAAGAACAAAAGCAGTTTGAACAATATCAGTGTTTTCCAAAGTAACATGTCATCAGACGTCCTGCTCTCTACAAACACGTGTCCTCCTTTACAGTTAAAAAAAAACCTCACAGGGGCACAGTTTAGTAGTTTTACCAGATTAGGATAGAATTCATTTTAAATATCTAGTCCAAAAAAATTGGCATTTGAAGAGAAGTGTGCAAGTTGCTCCATTTAAGTTAAATCTGCTGCTGCTGTAGCTCTGAAGCCGACAAGCACACACCAAGACAGTGACTAGAAAAATAAACCCACAAGCTGTCCCTCAGCCGACAAGACTCTGAGCTGGGACACTACAACACGCATCATCCAGGCAGTTTTCTTCAGCATATCCTCTCAAGTTTTTAACATTTTTAAAAAATATATATAGTGCAAACAGGTCGGCTATGAATGAGGAAATGTCTTCTCTGCTTCCTGCTGGTTTCTAGGAGTGGTTTGATGAGTCTGATCTTCTTAAAGCTAAAGTCAGGACCCTCGTGTGCAGAGAATCCACATGCATACAAAAGAAATGGATGTCTAATAAGAAAATAGTAGCTTTTGCTGTGCATTATATATGTTTTTGTTTGCTCTATATGCCAAATTAAGCTTTGCATATCTGTTTTTAAAAGTAATTCCTTGGTCCAAAAATGTGCAATGATCAAAACCCACTGAGTTTTAAAATCTGAACTTGTTTGTTCATATCACTGGTTGCTGAAAAGAAGTTAATGCTGCTTGCATATAGTGACTATTTTTTTAATGTTGTGAATTTTAGATTTGACAAAAGCAGCTGTAAGGCCAGATCACAAACAGAATATGAAGACGTCAGTGACTCTTGCGGCAGTCTGAGCTCTCACAGGAATGCTTACTGAGTGGTGTAAGATGCAGAGTCTCATTGCCAAAATCTGGGCAATGGGTCACGGCTTGTTTCACAATGCGTGTGATTTTGGCTAGTCGTACATCAGTCCTGTGGGACACGTTAAGACTTCAGGCTGAGGTGGAGTTAAACAGTTTAACAAGAACCTGAATGAAGATGAGGTTAACCCTAATGATGCAAATTTGGATTGTCTACAATTTCAGGTAAAAAACATTTAATATTTGCACTTAGAATCGTCGGCACAGATCCCCCCCTCCCCTCCCCCAGTGCAGTCATGGACAAAATGGCGTGACACGGTGAACTTTACGATGTTCCTGTCCACGTGTCTGAGCCTCTACCACGACTCAGAAAGCTCCAGCCTCTGTCAGTAGTGTACCAGCCTCGAGCAGCAGAGCCTTGACGTAGACGTGCACAGTGTAGAACATGGTGACAAAGTCCTGGGTGCTGAACAGGGTGTCTGCGAGAGCAAAGCCCAGCGTGGAGGGGATGAAACCTCTGCCGTACTCCACCATCCATGTGCCGGCGCTCCACTGGACCGACGTGGCCTCTCCGACAGCATGTACGATAGTGTCGCCTGTGGGAAAGGATGGAGAGCACATGAAGGAAAACAAACAAACAAAAAAAACAATCATGTGAAAGTGTAATGATCCAGATTGAAATGTGTTACCAGGATAGTATATTTCACTCTTGGTCGTCCCCTCCTTCCACTGTCTGAAGGTGCCAGAGATGATAGTGTCGGAAATCTCTGCCCAGTAACGACCTGAAGAAAGCAGCAAAAGGAAGGATTTATACTGATGGAGCTTTCTGAAGAGAAGAGATCACATCTGTCAAGTAACAATGTGCAGACGTTTCTCCTTCCTCATATGAAGACAACAAAGTCTATTTAAATTCTTCTGAGTTATATTTAGATTTTTGGAACGGATTGATTCTCCCAACAGACGGAGCTGTAAGCCCATCCTTCCTCACCTGAGTGTCCTCCTGTGTCCACGGCGGTGCCAAACAGCAGCAGGTACTCTGTGAGGGAGGCGTGGAGGAGACACATGGAGCCCATCCAGCCTCCAGCGTTCACAAACACCCACTGCAGGTCCTCATCTGGCAGGATGTGGCCGGGATACCTGGTTCAGAGACACTTTATTAGAGCACAGATAAAACCCTCATCTCAGTGTGTTTAAGTCATACATGTAGATTATTAAAACGCTTCCTTTCAGTTTCAACTAGGGAATAATCCTGACGACTAACTTACTCCTGGATTCACCAAAGAACTTGACAACAAACGATCCTGGAGCCACCTGAAGCCAAACCCCTCCTCTTGGTATCCAAAGTGCACCATGTCAGAGTTCAGCCGCTTTCAGTTTTACAGCACTGTACAAGTCTGCTTTCAAACTTCCCTTTAATAGGCAAGAGCTGCTGTTACATCCACTGAACAAATCTGAATGCAGACCTCAGGGATGTTTTATCCACTAAAATATGCACATTCAAAAAAATCATTGCACCTGAACATGAAGCAGTCAGATGCTGAACTGATCAGTCACCTGACATAACATGAGGCCAGTGAGCTGCAGTGAGAATCCACTTCTGATGATAGATGCACAAATCAGTCGGTCCAGTGGACACGGTGTGGTTGTAGTTGTGTGTGTTCAGTGCTCATTCATGCCAGCACGTGTCTGTGTGTATTTTAAAACAACATAATGCTTTTATTACCTCTTCCTGAGCTCCACGACCACTTTGGAGAAAGCCTGCTCGTGGTCCTGTCCTGGGAACACACACATTCACACATGGGCTTCAGGGACCATTCAGGGAACCTAAATAAGGCTGATTTATACTTTAAACGGGATGTGAGGGAACTGCAGTTCGGTCATGGCTTCATCTCTACGTGGAAACCACTGAACACTGAGCTCACCTGCGTACTGTTTGGCCAATTTGGCGACGTCTTCTTTGTTGAAAACGTACTGCTTGGTGGCCATCCAGTGCCGCAGCAGCAGCACGGCCAGGACGGTGACTGCGGCGAACAGCAGCAGCCTGAAACCCGTTTTCACTGCGGACATGGTCGAAACGAAAACGCACAGACAGACACGAAGCAGCGGGTTCGGCTACATGCGCACACAGAGGCGGTCCGGCTGCTCCAAACACGCCATGGGCAGAACGAGTGTGGAGTCCAGCTGACGGCTTCTTCCTGGTCAGCTGACAGCTGGAGAGGGCAGCTCAGCCAATCACAGCGCGAGTACGTCGTGTAGGCAACAGAGGCTCCGAGGTTGCCAGCATAGCGTAAAACCCCCTCGTCACGTTTATACAAAAAAAAGTGGACCAGAACTTTACATTTTAAGTTCATGTGTTAAACTGAAACATTAACGTGTCGTGTTATCGTTAATTAGTGATTTAGTTCTATCTGTTATGGATTATTGGAGGTTTGTCGTCACACGTTGTTTTGTCCCAAACAGCCGCTTTTCCGCTTGTCAAACAAACAGGAAGTAGGTCGAGGGGTGCTGCGGAAAGTGTCGGCTAGCACAGTTAGCTCAAGTTCAGGGAGAGCAGAGGGCTGATGGGTTAACAGAGCAGCTGACAGTTCACAGACAGCAGACATGAGTGGGAAACAAGACGTCAGTTTTGATCCCAAAGGTACGTTTTATTTGGCAATTTAAAAAAAAGTACAAAGTTGAATGACTTTCCCAGAATATCCTGCATGAGTACTCCAAACTTCTGTCAGTGATTCCACATTTCATTTTAAATCCGTCAGTTTTGCTTGAGTTTTCTAAACGCCAAAGTCCACACGACCAGACTTTAACCGAACCGAAACCCTTTAGAACACACGCAGGCTGCACTGCAGGACTTCAGGAGAGATCCTGCATCGATGTTGTCAACTTCTAGACTTACTTCTTCGTACCAAACTTGGGGCACTTGGATGCAAATATTTACTATAAAGAGTGTATTCATTGGTGCTGTTTGGATTGTTTACCAGCCGAACTGACTGATGGGTCAGAGCAGTTCAGACGATGTCTTTAACATTATTCTACCCTGAAGCTGAACGTTCACATTCTGGTGTGATCTTTAAATCAACGCGTCTTTGAATGGAGTTCGGTCATAGTGGATTTCAATCCAAACAGAGAGCCTGTCTTTTATAGGTTTACTGATACCAATGTGTTATCTGTTCAGTGACATAAGCACTGACAGAATGCTCACAGACTACAGGACACACTGCCAGCTGTGCACTCTTGTGATTTCCTGCAGCTCTCACTGCTGCAAGTTCCTGAATTCTGTTTGATGAGTTGTAATCACAACACAAAATGTTCGGCTTTGTGTCACATTTTATACACTAAAGGTTATGTTTCCCCCAAATTCTAATAATTGAAAATGAAAATGATTGTTAGTTACAGCCATGCAACTATTAATAGTAATAATAATAATAATAATAATAATAATAAGCTATGATAATAATGATAATAGCTTCTAGCTGATCAGGTTGACAAACGTCTCATTAAACTCCGCTGTCAGTCACGTGTGTCTGTTACTACACTGTCATGTCTTATTCTATGTCTTGTGTACCTCAGAGCACCAGCACCTGCGCTACAACCCTCTGCGGGACAGCTGGGTCCTGGTGTCGGCCCACCGCATGAAGAGGCCCTGGGCCGGTCAGGTGGAAAAGCCTCCCGAGGAGCATGTGCCCAGATTTGACCCCCGCAACCCGCTCTGTCCGGGCAACACACGCGCAAATGGGGAGGTAAGAAGAAGTAGATGCATGGGTCTAAATGACAAAGCAAGTATCTCTTTCTTTTTACACCGAGCAAGATTTTCTGCCGTTTATTAAACATTTAAAAAGGCGTCAGTCACGTTGTCCACCTCATGACAGTGTAACCCAAACTCCAGGCCTCCGTTCACAAACACAGGCATCTTGTCACATATGCTTCATCCAAACTTCTCAGTGGTCTGATGTGGTGGACATTAACCAGTAAAATCATAATACTACCAGTGTTATAAACCAATGTGGATGTTTCTTTACTCATTGTGTTGTTTTTTGACACATATGTGGAAACCAAGCAACAGGTATAGATAATATCTGTCCTGGACAACAAGCAGGATTTGCTCTCCTGTTTCTTGATATCTGTTTGTCTGTCTTCTTCCAGGTAAATCCGACCTATGACAGTACGTTTGTGTTTGAGAACGACTTCCCTGCTCTCCAGCCAGATGCTCCAGATCCCGGTACGCTCCGGTTCTGTATGAATACTGTCAAACAGTCGAACATCTCTAAGCAGTGCAGTAACAAACAAAATGCACTTCTTTTTTTCATATTGTACTTTCATGTCGCTCTTTAGCTGCTTCGTGTAACGCAGAATGATAATGTGCTAAACATATTCTTCTGTTTACGGTTTTAAAGAAATAATTCTGTTGTGTTTTTCAGGTTCGGAGCAGCATCCGTTATTTCAGTCTAAAGCTGCCAGAGGCGTCTGGTAAGAACAAAGCTCTCTATAGGAATAGTTCATGTAAACGTGTGTCTGTCTCACTGTTGTGTGTTATTTATTAAAACATGCCAGGAAGCTACTGATGAAGGCAGACGTGTGTGTCTCATGTTGTGCCTGGCCTTTTACCAAACATCTACAAGAATACTGCAATTATAATATAAATTAACTTGTGTTTGGTGGCTTAGGATCTATTTATGGATGCATCTTAATCAGTGTTCCTCGTCAAGATTGTGATACATTCAAATTTATGACTAATTAAATCTCAGCTGATGAGTGCAATCAGAGCAGTCACGCTGAGGCGGCCGTAATTCGCCGTAGTCATCGTCGTCATCATAATCAGGTTATTAGGTGAAGCTAATTGTGCTAATCAATGCGCTGCACGCTCTCTGTTTTCAGGACATGTTGAACTTTTGCAAAACAAAGTCCCAGATCCCCGACATGCGTCCACCAGGCTGTGTGGTTGTTCTGAGCCGCCAGCAGATGGAGATGCTTCCTCGCTGCTCTGGTTTATTGGCACCAGAGGCTTGGATGTGATTCTGATGCTTTCCTTAGATCAATTTCTGCTTATTCCCAGGAGTACGTTGTTTTCACCAAAGAAGGACTTAAAAAAGTTTCGAGCCAGTTTTCTGATGTGCAGACATTGATTGCTGGATTTATTCAGTGTCATGTTGAGTCTGAGGAGCTTAACGGGAGGCCTAATCCTTTGTTAGTGCTCGCTTCTTTAATGCAATAGCCGGTAATTTATGAATTCAACATCCACAAAGAAGTGAGAAAAATCTGTGCCAACAAAGTTTTTCTTGTTTCAGACCCTGATCTTAGTTGGTTTTTACGCTGCCATGGGTCAATACACGGATCGTACATGACTACAACTCACATTGTTTTTATCATATCAAACATATATGACTTGAAAGAACGCTCCTGAACAATCCTGTACTCTGAGAATAGCAGATGATTGTGCCCGACAGCACGGTTGCATAACAATTGAATAATAGATTAAATGAAAACACTGTACTGCATGTGCTGGTTGAAAACTGAATTCTGTGGAGGCTGTCAGGTGTTGCTCGCTCACAAAGTAATGAAGCACAGAAACAGCAGCGATCGATGCGCTGCGCTGTCTTCGTGTCTGATTGTTAACATTCAGAGTGTGTCTTGGTAATTCAGTCTCGCCGCACACGGGATTGTGTGGTTTTTCTTTTCACAATGTGTGATGGTAAGGATATTTTAGTCGCAGTGCTTCTGTGGTCCGTTCAGTCCTCGCGGTGTCGGGTCCGTATCAGCAGAGAGAGAAGCTTGTTCACCTAACTGGAGCTTGTTGCCCTGCAGCAGAGAGCCAATTAGAGGGAAAAACAAAATGGGAAATGGGATTTTGGGGATCTGGGCCGAGGGAGACAAAAGAGAGATATGGTGAGGGAAGAGCTGAGAAAACTCCTAATGATTTATCATATCACCTCCTCTCAGCCGTACGCTTCCTCTCAGCACTCCAGAGAGAAAATATTTGGTCACACGTTGTTGTACAGGCCTGATAGTGCTGCTGTCATTTCCTAGAGAGGAGCCGGTGTTTTACTGCACTGTCTCGGTATGTTTGGTAATTTGGTCCAAATTCTTAGAAAACAATGACATCAGGTTTGCTTCACAATGTTCTGCACAACAGCTTTCTGACATATATCACAAGATTAAAGAAGAAAAAAAAAAAAATAGCAGATTAATTAATAGACTAAGTAATAGTGGCACTTTGTTTTTTTTGCAGTATTGCTCTTGAGTATTTATAGAGTTTTGCTTCTATTTTCTAAATTGTAAAACCCCAGTTAATATGAAATTAGTCTGTGAAACATTATATAACCCGCATTAATTAGTTAACTAATTTAAATAAATGTCTTGAAGGCTGTTGGAGGGATGCTTGTGTGCTAACCAGGAGTCTTGCCAGCGGCTTCCCTCTGGAGCGAGCAGAGTCCAGATGTCAGCTGGTCAACAGGATCAGCTCTTTATTCTGCTCTGAACCGTCTCTACAGGAGTTGTTACAACATTCGGTCTGAACATCTATTCTGTTTCTTCACAATGAGCTGTAATAATGTCATATTCTGTCTTTCCTTCTGACTTGTGTTTACTGCTTGTTGCAGGACCTGATTAATGCAGTTAACCGTCAGCTCATAGCATCTGGTCCGATTAATCCGGTTACCAGCTCTGGTCTGCAGCAGTCATGGAATTTTAGTTGACGACAGTTTGACATACAAAAAACAAAAAAGGTGATTAACCACTGGGTTGTCTGTTCAGTTTCTACCTCTGTTAGTTTGACATTAGTGGCACCAGTGCTTGTGAACGCCGTCCATATCCGACCAGTGACCTCCACAGAGTTATTGGGCTCTCCTTCCCCATTTGGCGTGACACCAACATGTGCCCTGGGTGGTGCTGTGGTGTCTGGCTGTGCAGTTAAATCCACGACGTTAATGGGAACAGATGCTCATCGAGATGCAGCCAGTGGAATACTGGAAGTCAAATACCTCCAGATGAACAGACGTCACCACTAAACTGTAGCAGGAGAAGTTTAAAATCTGACACTTCTACCACGATAATGTGCTGCTTTTATACAGGTGACTGTAAATAATCCTGACAAAAATGCTCAACCGTGACAGGCCTGTGTGTGTGACCTGCTGTAGCCATGTGGGATTGAACAGGCAGCTGAAAAGAGTTAGTAAGACCAGTGCTTCTGAAAATACAGCCTTCAAATCACCCAGTTCATAACGTACTTTATACCTACAATAGCTGAAGTTGTAATTAGGCTGGAGACACACACACACACACACACACACACACACACACACACGCTCAGCTTGCAGCTCCTGTAATTGTCCGCTCATGAACAATTCATAAATACGACCGTTCAGTTTTGCTCAAAGCATAAACACCAAAGTCGTGTTCAATTATTGATCGTGTACGAGCAGCTTGGGCCCAAGAAGAGCCCGAGTGTTGATATAAATTTCATTATTCTGACTCTGACAGTCGGGCTGCTTTCCCTCGGTGCTATAGGTAAAGCCTGAGAGCAAACAAACCAGCGGTGTTTTCTTAAACCCACACAGACGCTCGGTTTGCTGGAACCTGCACACGCTCATCTAATCTCTGAATAACGAGGTTCAGATGTAGTTAGACTCTGAAAGCCGCCGTGTTTCACGTTTTTCTGTACAGAAGCTTCAGATGTGATGGGTATCATAGTTAAAGCTCTGTTTGTAGGTAAAGCTGATGTTCAGGTCTGATCCAGGAGGTCTCATTGTGCCGTCCGTCTCCCTTTGGATTCCCAGAACACTTTCCCATCAGTTCAGAGAGTTTGGGGCTAAAGTTTGGCAGCACTGACGAGTATTACCTTCTGACATAAGTCACCTGTGAATTCTGCTGCACCAAACGATAAAGCTCCAATAATATTAATTACTGTCATTTTGCTCTGCCTGTAGGTTAAACTCAGACTAAGTGAACTTTATATACGGATACAGTTTTGACTCAACCCATGAATATAATCCAGATCTGTGTGTGATTGCATTCACTAGAAAAAACACATTTAAATCTGAGAGGAGCAAATTGTCAGGCTCGCTGTTGTTTTCTCCAATTGATCCACTGACAAGAGCTTCAACAAAAGAAAACCAGAAGGAAAAGACGCCAAAGTGAGCATCTGTATCTGACAGGCAGAGAACAAACAGCAGATCATCTCTGAGCTTTAACTGACCAGGACAGCTCCACACACATCAAGAATATATATGTTGTTCTTATGAAAGCAGAGACAGCGTAACACGTTTATCACTTATTAATCATCATCAGATCAGCAACAAGAAACATCAGAATAAATAACAGACACAAAAAACTAAGAGCCAAACAGCACAAACACACAATGAGACGTAAAAACTTTGTCTAAATGACACCTGGACAGGTTGAACGTCTGTAAAGTGAGAGAAGCTTTTATGTCTGGATGGTTGCACTCCTGATTTCATCTGACTTTTTCTCTTGAAGTCTTCAGTATTCTGACGTCTCATTAAAGAGATTTATAAAGACGCCGTGCTAGCCAAGCAGCTAAACAGTGATACTAGACATGATTTCAGTTTGTTTCTGTATATCGATTTATCACCAAATGCCTGCAAAACTAATGACACTACCACTAGTCTCAGTTAGTATAGTATAGCATGCTAACAAGCTAAACTAATGGTGAACATCATGTGCATAGCATAAACATAAGCTACTGCTAATATCATCGTCAGCATGCTGGCATGTTGTTGTTAGCATTTAGCTCTGATGCTCAGCTGGGCCTGTGTGGAGCAGAACAGGGTTTATCCAGTTTGTCCAGTGTTGGCAAAGGTTCAAACATCTTTAAAGAGGGTGAAATATGAGCCATGTTTGGACAGAGGTTGCTAAATGCATTGCTTTCTGTTTAATCTGACAAGAAGAAGACATCAGGACTGACTTCCACAGCAGCAGAAACAGAAACATGAACTCAGATTCACTGCAGTCAGTTCAGATTCTTGTTCTAAATAATCAGATCATTACAACAGCCTGTTAAAATGCTTTTCTACTGGATTCAAGTCATAAATTTAACTCACAAATGTATGAGAAAAAAACTAATATTGTTCTCTAAATTAAAAAGTCGTTCATTTGTAAGAAAAAAAATCAGATTTTTTTTCGTGGAGCCACGTTGTGTAACTTAACGAGGTCTGATCAACCTGTCAGACCCACCGATGCATCAGGTGATCAGGCTGTCGTAGGAATCCCTGAACCGAACAGAACCTGACCCTTAAAGTGTTCTGTTCACATCTAACTTACTCCACAGCTCCACACCTTGACGATCAATTAGTTTGATGATGAGTTCGACCAAATCACATTTTAATTTCCTGTCAATACAACCAGTGATGTCGTTAAATCAGTGAGTTCTTCTAAATAGGATCAACTTACAGCAACACTTCTTCAAAGTCTGGTGACTCCAGACTGAAATCAGGAGTGTTTGCTTATTGCTAAATCCGTCTGTATCGTATAACTTCAGTATAATTTGAATAAATCATCCGCTGCAGGCAGGAATACGCAGCAGGTGGCAGCGTGTTGGTGTGATGAGGTGATTCATCATCGCAAAGAACAGAAGATAAAACAGTTTATTCAAGTTTTTGTTCTGATTATTCCTGTAAATGTGTGTTAATCTCAGTGAAAGGTTTTTCTTGTACATTAACAGCAGTTTTTTCCTCAAATCATTACCATGTCCTCCAGCACCTTTATTTAAAAACCTTCACGTAATGCGTGACCAACAATGTCCTGTATTGTTGTAAGTTCAGGATCTAACACGTCATCGTCTTTTTTTCCTCTTTCTTCTGGCCGTTCTCAGTAAGGTCATGTGTTTCCATCCCTGGTCAGACGTCACCCTCCCGCTCATGAAGAAGCAGGAGGTTGTCAGTGTGATTGACAAGTGGGCAGAACTTGTTGAAGAACTCGGCTCTACCTACCCGTGGGTTCAGGTACAGGACACAAAGTTTTAATCGCATCCACAAATTATTGATCTGATTCCTCCCAGGCCTGGATACCTGTAAAGAAGGAGCTGATAAACTCTTCACCCCATCCTCTACTCTCACTCCTTGACCCCTGCAGGTTTCTCATTTTAATGCGTCTCGTATCGGATTGGGTGAAACTTTAATAATGCTTCTGGGCGAGCTCACAAATTGAAAGAGCAGAAAAAGAAAGTTATGGATGAGACAAGATGTAAAACTTTACAATACTTGTTAATTAAATTCTCATGCTGAAGATATTTATGTTGTTTGAGCCACAAGATCTGTGAAAAAGCAGCAGTTGGACCCATAAATGTGCAGCTTTGGCGGCTGATCGTGAGCGAATCACAACATCGACGTCGCCGAATCAGTCCACAATCCAAAACCTAATTGATTTATACGGATTTCAATTTACACATCAAAGGTCAGCGAACGCAGTCTAGTAAACGTGAACGGTGATGATGTGACTGCAGAGTGTTTCCTGCATCAGTGTGAGTCAACATGAAGACTTTAACTAAACCAAGGATGAACTTTCCTCTTCCTCTAGATCTTTGAAAATAAGGGAGCTACGATGGGTTGCTCAAACCCACATCCTCACTGCCAGGTAGGACACACACGCACACACACACACACACACACACACGTAACTGCAGTGGTGGAAAGTAACTAAGTACATTTACTCATGTACAGTTTTAAGGCACTTGTAGTTTCTGAAGTATTTCTATTTTACGTCATACGTCTCCTTCATTACATTTCATCGGGAAATGTTGTTGTTTCGCCTCCACCGTGTTTGTCTGGCAGCTTCAGTTACTCTTAAGATAATATAATAAACAGATAATTTAAGAAGCTTTAAAATACAACACGCTGGTTAAGGGTTTCCAGCCTTTTTGACTTCTGTTGTCTTATAAACAGCACTGTTTGCTCGCTGAATTTTCATCTTTTCTCTGTCATTAATCACCTCATATTATTCATTTCAGATTAATTTGTTCATACAGTAGTTCACATTAGCTCCACTTCCTACAGCTAAATCAATAATTAATGTAATATATGTAATATTATGTCAGTCAGAGGAACAAAACCAGTACTTTAACTGTTGAGCTCCATTTTGCAGCCAGTACTTATTTACTTATGCTTAGATCTAATTTTCCATGCAGGACCTTGTACCTGGTAGGGGACAGTCTTTACTTTATCATAAAGGATCTGAATACTTCTTACACTACGGCACAACAAACATTACCGCTGCCAGTCATTTTAAATTCATTTATACATTAAATGTGCTCAGAGTGAGACCAGAGTTCTGTCCATACATTAACACACAGCGCTGCTCCGGCTGCTTCTTCCATCACAGCTGCAGCGTGAACACCAACTAACCAAATGCTTTTATCATTAATGCAATCCGTCACACGGCGCCCCTCTTATGCTACGACAGTAAAGCTGAGGTGTTTTAAAGAAGCACTGAAGTCTTCAGCAAGACAGAATCTGTTCAGTGACTCCAGAGACTGTCAGCAGCTGATTTTTTTTTTTGCACATTTCTTATTTTTCCTTTATTGTGTGTTTTTTTGCGCGTAGCCACGCCCGCTCCGACATTTCCTCGTGTTTTCCTGTTCTGTGAGGCAGGGAGAGGCTTTCCAAACCATCACCTCTCAGCGTGATGCTGATAAAGAGCACAAACAGGAGGGAGACAAGAAACAAAGAGATGGTTAGCTGGGCTAGACAGAGCCACGCCGTGAATGTTAAAGAGCAGCGGTGTTGTGTCATAATAGGGTATTAGAAATAATGTGTAAGACAAAGGATAGAAAGGGCTTCACTGGGTGACAACAAAGGTGGTGAACTATGATGACCAGTCAGCAAACGTGATGATTGATATGAACTAAATGAAGAGCAGCTAAACACCAGTCCAGGGTTCATCAGAACACTGAGGATGTTGTTTTAGCTTCAGCA